GGGGAAATAGTTTTTACTTTACTGTTTCAGTTACAATTCAGGATCAGAAACAAGGCAGGATACAGTTCCTCAATCAGGACACTCTCTTCTCAGCCATGCCGCAGGCACACTTCTCTTTGGCCTGGGCCTCTGCTCTGTTTGGGCAAGTGTTACAGAGCTCTTTGAGCTCTTTGAGCTCTGCCGATAGGTGCCTAGAGAGACATTGCACTCTGCCAGCAAGCCACTCTGAAGGCACTCAGCTTCCTCGCTCTGTGGGCCGGGAAGCCCACTGCTCTGTCTCATGACAGTCTCTTGGTTCTGTTGACTCTGCTGCCGCCATCTCTACCATCTGTCTGCTGTCTCCCACCCCCTCAGTGAAGGGTTACAGTCCTCTCTGGGGCCTTGGCTGAGGAGATTCAGTGTGGGGATCTTGGGTCCAAGGACACAGTCCTGGCTCTTCTTTATTGATGGTAGTGAGAGCCCCTTTTCCTGCCTCTAGGAGGGCTCATTTTAAGCCTAGCAGGATGGCAAATCTGACCAATCTCCATGGTAGGGTTCCAATCACCTTATTTGCATGGTTCCACCCCTACAAGGTGCCATGTACCTTATTTACATTACTAACAAGCTGCTCAATCCCCTTGGTGGGCCACAAGCACCTCATATTTGAGAAGTCTCACTCAGTCACTGGTGGGAGTTACAAAGACTATGACAAGAAAAGCCATATTAAGCAATTCACTGCACCACACTAGGTAAATAAATACTTCTATTTTTCTTGCAACTGAAAGTCTTAAAGCCTGTATCCATGAACCAACTATTCAATAATTATTTTTCAGTTTACAGATGTCATTAACCCTTGTGACAATGCATTTCAAAAGGTATTGCTTTTAAGTTGCTATATCAAAACAACTCTGCCAACTTATTTTAGTTCAATGATATTCTAGAAGTTTCATTGGAAGTTAAATTTATCATAATAGAGTTTGTCTTTAATTAAAAACTTTCAATGCCCTGTCATATTTTACTTGGCCATGCCCCAAAGGAGTAGATAAAAGTTATATAATAAAGTGCCTTAGGTGAACAAAAGGGTACTCCCTATCTTCAGGGAAATTCAAGAAGATTATAGATTGCATTTGGTAGAAATCACATTAAAAAATCCCCAAACTCACTGCTGTCAAGTTGAATCTGACTCATAGCGACTCCTCCTTGGGTTTCCCAGGTGGTATCACTACAGAAGCAGATTGCCCAATCTTCCTTTTGAGGAGTGGCTGGTGGGTTTGAAACACCACCTTTCTGGTTAGCAGTCAAATGCCTTAGGCACTATACCCCAGAGCTCCTAAAAATCACACAAGGATGCTATTAACAACTCCAGAAAGAACACTGGCTTAAACAGGATTAATTTTAAGGGATTTTTTTCCCCCTCTCTCCAGGAATAGGCCATCTAAGACTGGCAGACCACTATCATCGTGGGCTCGGGTTTCTTCTTTCTGCTCTGCCATCTTCAGTGTATGGCTACCAATCTTTCCTCATGATCCAAGCTGGCTGCCAGAACTCAAACTCATACAGGCAGGAAGGAGGAAGTGAGGAAAACCAAATAGGGCCTTGACCAGCTGTTCTTTTAAGATTTTTCTGAAAGTGTCATCCAACAACTTCACTCATCTCTCAGTGGCTGATCTTAGTCACATAGACATAAAAGATGGGTTAAGAAATATTGTCTTTTGGCATGGACAATGCCAAAATCCAGAAAATGAAATCAGGGTTGTGTTACAAAGAAAGAACCCATATTGGGAAGGCAACTAGCCATCTCTGTCACAAATGCAAATTTCAAAAATAAACAGGGATAAAGCATTCCTGATCAAAATAAATGAAGTCAAAGATTAATGAAAGGCAAACTGAAGGGCTATAAAAGTTAACGTAAACACATCTGAAAAGGAATTGGTACATGAAATGTCACTAGCAATGGGTTGGAAATATGGAAATCAGAATGATAAGCAGAACCCCAGAAAAAGAAAGTTCCAAGGGCCTAGCACACACAGTTTTTTCTTGGAAGAGAGATAAATGTTTTGAGTATTTCAGTTTGTAGTACCCTTGAGAGAGAAAATAATTCTTTTCAAATACATGTGTTAAAACGTTTTTCAGTAGGCTTTATCATATACATCTTGAATGAAGTATCTTTTGAAAAATCTATTTCAGGAGTATGTGACTCCAAATTCACTATGCAGCTTCTGGTGATGAATTTGCCAACCAGAATAGACATCTGCACCCATCCGTAGAATATAATGAATTTTCAATGACTGGTTGTGCTACCCATGGGCCTTAATAATGCCTATAATTTTTGTTGGGTGCCCTAGAGTTGATTTTCAACTCATAGCCACTCCATGTGACAGTGGAGGTACCCCATAGGGTTTTCTAAGCTGTAATGTTTATGGGGAAGATTACTAGGTCCTTCTCCCATGGAACTGCTAGGTGGGTTTCAACAGCTAACCCTGGAGTTAGCAAGCCAGCCCTCAAAGGTGAACCAGCTTAACAAATTCAAATGAGGAAATGAGGAGAGAGGAGTCAAGATTCTGACCCAAAGATCCAGGAAGCAATATATGGTGCAGTGAATTACTGAATATGGCCCTTCTAGCCAGTCTTTGCAATTCCCACCAAATGACAAGGCAGAAATATGTAAATAAGGTGTCTGTGACCCACCCAAGGGATTGCAGTGCTTGCTATTAAAGGGCATGGCACCCTTGTGGGGGTGGGATCATGGCATCCTTGTGGGGGTGGGACCAATACAATTCAGTGTATTGGTCAGTTTTGCAAGCCAGCTAGGCTTAAAATGAGCCATCCCAGAGGCAGAAAAGGAGACCACATGACCAGCAAGAAAGAAGAGCCAGAAGTGGAGCCTGTCTTTTGGACCTGAGATCCCCGTGCTGAGAACATCCTAGATCAAAGAGACAGTGTGAGAGCTATGACATCAGAGACAGCGAAGACACAGTGAGAAACAGAGGCAGCAGGACCAGGAGACTTGCTGGTGGAGTGGTCGGGGGGTGTCTCTAGGCACTTACTTTACAGAGCTTCTAAAACTTGTCCAAACAGGGCTGAGGTCAGGTTGCCCCAAGAAGCCTGAGGTGTTGAGGGCCAGGCAGAGGCCTGCCTATGAGCATGGCTGAGAAGTTGCTGTACTGACTAAAGATCATTTCTTATCTTGAACTGTAACCTGTTATTTCCCTAACAAACCCAATAAACATGAGTATTGTCTGTGACTTCAGTATGGCCATTGTAACAAATTATCAAACTCAGCAGTGAAGTTGAATGCCATGGGAGGGATGGTTGGTGCCAGAATTGGTAAAAAGGTTGCAGGTGGACCTCGTTCTCATTGGAATCAGCCTTGGGCTTTGATCTTGATTCTCCTTCCCCCTTCTGAAGTTAGAGGAATTCAGAAGACATCCCCCCATGTCATTATTACACAGTAGAACTCAAGGCCAAGGCCAGATGGAGTCAGGAATGAAGCTGGGAGTGACATCTTGAGCCACAGTTCAGCTGATCAAAGGGCATTTAATTTATTTTGAAAATACAGCAGTGGGCTCTGTTTGGGGTAAATAACAACTGTTAAAGGAGTCTTGAGGGATCAGAGTTCATTCCATGCATTCTCTTGTTACTTGTGTTCCAAGTGCTATCCTACCTCCTGATTTTGATGAGCTGATACTGGCTGGTGGATTTTCATCCAAGCAAGATGAAAACTCAGTTAAATTTGTCTTTCTTTGAGGGTGGAGACTGTAGAATGGCTACCGAGGGTGTTATAAGATGATTCTTTTGCTTGTCTTCTGCACCTGGAACAGGTTAGTTGGTTGCTGCTTTGGGTGGCTGGGGCAGGGAGTGGGCCAGAGGGTGGGATCTGTTTAGTCCCCACACCTGGCTGAGTGTCAGGTCCAGTTTTAATAAAATACAGAACTGCCACAGTAAGCTAATTACCGTTCAGTAACAGACCCTGATTCTCTGAACTTAACAAACTTATTTTTCACACAGGTTATGTATCGAACGAGGTTTGGTGGTGGTGGTGGGATGTGTGTCTGCTCATTGTGGACCCAGGGACTCAGTGAGTTTAGGGACTTCATGTCCATGTGTTTCTGAGGTAGCTGCCTTAGGGGAAGAGATTGGGCTGAACCACTTACTGCTTTTAAAGCCACTGCCTGAAGGTGACACATCACTTCTGTGCACATTTCATTGGTCAAAGCAAGTCATATTGGTTTTTCTTTGCTGCCACTGAGTAGGACTCTGATTCATGGTGACCTCACGCACAGTAGGACAAAACTCTGCCTGGCCCTGCACCACGCCCATGATGGTGTGGATTGGACCATTGTGATCCTTAGGGTTTTCATTGGCTGATTTTGGAAGTAGATCACCCTTTTCCTACTCTTAGTATGGAAACTCTACAGAAACCTGTTCAGAATCATAGCAACATGAGGGCCTCCAGTGACAGACGGGGATGGCTGCACACGACATGTATGGGCCAGGAATCAGACCCAAGTCAGGCCTAACTTCAAAGAGACAGGAGAGTGCAATGCCACCGGAGCTTATAGTGTAGGCTTGGAATATCTGTGAATAGCTCTGCTGTTGTTAGGTGCTGTCCACCCATTTTCAACTGATAGAGACCTACGTACAACAGAACAAACCACTGCCAGTCCTGTGCCAGCCTCACAATCGCTGCTAGGCTTGAGTTCATCATGCAGCCACTGTGTCAAGCCATCTCACTGGGTCTTCCCCTTTTGCACTTGACCCTCCACTTTACCAAGCCCAAATAACTACCCAAACTCTCAAGATCTGAACTTATTACATCTTCCCAAATCATTCTAGTGTTCTCCTGTGTTTGGAAACTGGTGGTCTGAATAGTTGATCTCTGAAGAAATTCCCAGCTAATTTTCGAGTCCTTTGACTGACTTTGTCATATAGCATTAAGTATTGGGTAAAGAATTGCATTCAATAGATGTTCAGTGAACCACTTTTAGTGGCAACTCACCCAACTATCATGAGAAAGCCAATGCAAACTAAGTGTATTTTTTATTTTCATTAACAACAACAAAATACTTTCATATTTTCACATCCCATTGCTTTTAAGAGTCATATATTACAAATAAAGGAACTCCATAAACTTTAAAGACTAGTATTTATCAACACTTTTGTACACATACACAAATATGTTAATATCACGGTATCTGAAATGTTAATCATATAATTTTAGTACTGTGATAAGTATTAACTAAAAAGATCCCTTTCAATTTGATAAAAATCATATTTTACAATCTTCTATTTACATTTGAAATATGCTTAAATGTTACAAAAACATTCACTCTGACCTTTAAAATATGTGTACGAGGACTTGGCATTGAACATAGATATAATTGACAGCAAGCAAACTTAGGGTTTGCTTTTGAGCTACACATTCATTGGAATTTCATGGCAAATATTCAGCTTGGCTTGCTCAATGCCGCTCAGAGGAAAACATCATAGGAATGTGCAAGTCTAGAGGCTGGCAAAATTCTCAAGCTAGCGAGGTAAAAAATATATATATTAACACCATAAAAACTTCAAATAAATTAAATCTCTCTCTTCCCCGAGATTAGCTGCAAGTTGAGAAAGTCCTCTTGGAGGCGTGTAGAGTGCCGCAGATTCAGACCTCAGCAGTGGATGGGCCTGACACGGCAGGCAGGCCTGGGGTCCCCTTGTTAATTACTCGAGTGCAAGTTCGCTCCAGCCCGCACTTTGCTGGGTCGCCCGTGGGCGTAATCTAAAACCAGGATGAGATGAAACGAGACAAAACAGAGAAATTAGTATGATATCCCCAAACTCAAAATTAACCCGTAGATAAGTGATTTCTACTCTCCATGGAGAATCTGAATATTTTAAAACTGTATTTATCCAAGTGGGTTCTACAGAATTTTTCTCTCCCAAGCCCATGTGAGAGCCATTTCGGCAAGATGCGAAGTAGTTTCACAGTACTCTTTCACTATCAGCTATAAAATTGTAAATGTTCGAGGGAAACTTATAAATCTCTCGGAGTAATTCTAAGTAATTTTATTCTAATCTATAAGTTCATATGTTGTCAAATACTTTGTATTTCATCAAAAACATGAATTGCTGAATTACCCAAAAGGTGAATCCATTGAAATCTAAATTAAAAAAAAAAAAAATCTAGAAATATAAGCAAAAAATGTATCTGGACCTGCTTTTACTTTTGGAAACAATATTAATATGACTAAATACTATCAGATCTGTTTGCATAATGACATCCAAACACAATAACAAGAACAAGAGAAATCCCTGGCACCTTTGATGCACATCATTGTACAGAAGACATTTTCCAAGTGTTTTCAGTTTCAGTTGTTCTTTATGGAGATTTTCCCACTGGCTTCACACATTACCATGTATGCTGACCTTTAGTGCACCCCTCATCTAAGACAGAATTGCCATCCCTGTCCTTAGTAGAGCAGCCAGCACCCAAGCCTTGTGCGCTACCTCATAAATTCTCCTTATGGTTAATGTCACAAGTCTCTCCCTAAATAATTTGGCAAATAATGTGTCCAGTGTCTGAAACACTAAAAGCAATACGCCTTTGCATCCCAACTGCTGAGCACCACAGCAGAGCAAATCTGTTCCTGTTCATATATATCCTGTATTCTTTTTTAAAGACCCTGGTGGTGCAGTAGGTAAGCACTCATATGTTAAATGAAAGGGTGGTGTTCAAACCCATCCAGGAGCTTGTTGGGAGAGAGACCTGGTGATCTGCTCCTAGAAAGATTACAGCCAAGAAAACCTTCTGAGGCAGTTCGCTCCTGTCACACGGGCTTGCGGTGAGTCAGAATCAATTCAACAGCACCCAACAACAGACAGTTTAAAAATGAATTACGTATCTTTTTTTTCCTTTCTTAGAAAAGGTTTTCAGGGACAGAAGTTATTATCTTCTGCCCTTAATCAGCTGGTCTTTTTCTTTGGGTTTTTGTTTTAGCACTTTGCGGTGTAATGCATCTCTGCTTTGGGTACAAAAGAGCTCACCTATATTTTAGAAGTTGGTGGAACATGCATTTTGTTGTTAAACGCTAAGTTGTTAACTTGAGCTTTATTCGGTAGGTTCTTTTTCATCCTGGCCTACCGTGAAATGGAAATAACGTCGTTCTAATAAAAAAAGGAGCTCTGGTTGCATAGTGCTTAAAACATTTGGATGCTAACTGAAAGTTTGGTGGTTAAAACTCACCAGCCACTTTGTGGGAGAAAACTGAGGCAGTCTGCTTCTGTAAACATTCACAACCTTGGAAACTCTATGGGGCAGTTCTACTCTGTCCTACGGGGTTGCTATGGTTAGAATCGACTCCATGGCAGGAGTTTAATGAAGTAGTAACTTAGATAACACTAACCATTATGGAAATCTCTGGGAAGAATGAACAGCTAGGAGGAGACAGATCAAACAGCAGACCACAGAGGACAGTGTAGACATAAGGAAAGAAAAACATACCACTTTTGCTTACAGTACTGAGGGAAATACTAGACACAGAGGAACAGAAGCTGTATAAACACGGACCGCGACAGAGCTGCCAGGAAAAAAAGAGAAAAACGTTTTTGCATGAAGTTTAAGATTACATGCAACTTACAGTTGGAGACAAGCATTCCTCCGCCATCTTTCCCAACTTTCAGGTCCAGTGTTTGTTTCTGTTGTTTCACTGCCAACTTTATGATTTCCCCCACAGTAGGAAAGTGTCTCTCTGGAGTATTTAATTCCCATCACTCATTAAAAAGCCCAAGACATTAGTACCTCTATTAGGAATCCTATCCAGGGAGAATAATTCTCTAACATAAGCCAATACACCTTTTCTCTTGTACCTATTATAGAGATAGAATTGAGGGCCAGCGAACAAGATGAAGGCCTGCAACGAGACAGCCTGACACAATGGCTGCAACAATGGGCTCCAACAGCAACAAGTGTGAAGATCCTACAGAATCAGACAGGATTTCATTCTGTTGTACATACGGTCGCTAGGAGTTGGAACTGACTCAACAGCATTTAACAACAACAATAACAGAAACTTAAAAGTGAGGGTGGGAAGAAATAGGAACAAAAAAGAAGAAAAAAGCATAGTTGGGGAAATGCAATAAGAATAAAAGATATGCACAACACATTCTGTGTTTTGTGAATTCATGTTAATAGTGCTAGCCACTCAAGGGAAGGAAGGGGAACTAATAATGCATGACTACAAAGCACAGGGCATTGTTAGGAGATTGGTTTGAGCCCCCTCCCCCAATTATTCTGCACATAACACATCTAACTCCTGGAAGGCACCACGGTGATGAAATGTCCAGGTAGAAAGTGAGGGTTAATGGACACTGGGAAGTAGGTCAAAGAAGGAGGACCTGGCTTTTGACAACTTCATTCTCAGCATCCCCAGAAATACTGTGATTACTGAAGGCCCACAATTTGTTCACAGCCCTGCCCCAAATGCTGGCTACATGCCAGAATCATGGCCACCTTGCTTGTAGGGTGAGAAGCTGAACTTCAGCCCAAATCTGTACACCTTGAGGAGGCCAGTTTCTTTTTCCTTAACTTTTATTGTGATCGAGATGAAAGTTTACAGGAAAAAAAAGTTTTTTATTCACCATTTCTCTAGTGGCATAGGGCCTAAGGCATTTGACTGCTAATCAGAAGGCTGGTGGTTCAAACCCACCAACCACTCCTTGGAAGGAAGGTTGGGCAATCTACTTCTGTAGAGATACCACCTCGGAAACCCAAGGAGGGGTCACTGTGAGTTGGGTTCGACTTGACAGCAGTGAGTTAGTTCATATGTATTTTGTTTCATGACATTGACTGCAGTCCCCACATTGTAGCAGCACTTTTCCCACTTCCTCCCTGTTTCCTAATTCCCTTTGTCCTTCTTTCCTAGCCATCCCTGCCTCCTCAGCTTTATCTCTGGACAAATGCTGCCCTTTAGACCTCTTATGGTTGACTGCTCGAAGGAGCGATTACCCTTGTCACCTTATAGGCCCGTCTATTGTGTGGCTGACAGTTCAGACATGGTAGTGACTTCAGCTCCAGGTTAAAGGGTAGCTAAGGGCCATAGTCTCAGGGGTTCCAGTAATCTCTATCAGACCAGTAAGCCTGATCTTTAGTCTCCAGGGTCCATGACCACATCTTGGTATTCTTCCTGAGTATGCATAGACCCCTAGTGGCAGAATTGTGGAACTCACTGTGGAAGGAAGTCCATTTGCTATCAAAGCTGAGAGGTGGGGGGTAGAAGAGTGTCTGTGAGGTCCTCAGACAGTGATGATGGGAGTGGTAGGAAAGCTTAGTGGGAATGCCACCCAATGTTCCTCAGCTGTCTAAGAGGACCCACTGTTCTGGAAGCTAACAGTCATATGGTTCGAACACACACCTGTGAAAACTGCAGGATGTGTTTGCTGTCTAGCCTCTTTTTACACAGCGCCCCTACCTCCCACAATCTGATGTGTGTTCTGAAGCAAGGAGTGTTGTGCATTGTGGAGAGAACAATTCAGCAACATGGTGTTCATTTAAGGTATAGTGATTTCTGGTTCTTCTTACACCAGGGATACAATGGACACTTTCCATTTACTAACTGCCCTAGCCTCACCAAGGAGAGACTTACCTGCTCATTCATGACTGCAGAGAGTTCACTGAGCATGTCTTTATAGTGGGATCTCAACTCCTCCTGGTACTCCACCTGGTCCTCCTTGATTAGGCGCTCATTCACATCAAGGGCTTGCCCACATGCATCTGCAAATTGCCTGTCATGATAACAATGAATAAATTAAAAACTGACCTTAGAAAGTAACAACTTAAAGTTAGGTTGCCCATAGAGCCTGCTCCCAAGAAGAGGGCTGGGCAGGCAGCTACCTGGGGAATTTCTGACCCCCTGTCTGAAGGAGCTTAAAGAAGAACATTCCAACAACAAGAGGCTGACCTGAAGATTTCCTTCAGAAGCTTTACTTGGTTGTCAGGATATTTCTTTGCATTGGTTTCTTCAAGAAAAGCTCGTGCATAGGCCATTGGTCCAGCGTTAACCTATTGGGGACAAGAGTTTTGGCTGAGGATTAAACCATCTCCTTTATTGAACTTTCTCTGGCCCCCACAGCTGGAAGGAGTAGCCACTGTTATTAGCAGCCCTCTGATTAGCAGTCAAATGCCTTAGGCACTATGCCACCAGAGCTGGCTTTGGGGCTTGGAATAAGTAAGGAAAAAGAAGGACGCTAAGACCTTGTGAACAGTCTTCAGAAGTCCATGGCCACAGGGATGACCATGGCTGTAGAAGGCTGCCACGGTTTTGGGTATGTCCCTTTCCTCCACCAGATCACCTCTGCATTCTCCTTCACTCAGATCTGTGCTTAGGGAGGCTGTCCTATATGAACAGCTCCCTGGCCTCCCGGCTTTTGATTGGGATCAACCAGTGGGGGTTGTAGACAAGAAGTGGGTGGGGAAGAGGAAAGGGAGGTCAGTATCAAGATCAGCATTACTGATTTTTTCCTTTTGCCTCAGGCACTAATGCAGCTTGGCAGGGCACTGTGACTGATTCTTTATTTTACATATTAATATTTTATTAGATTTTTTGCATTAATTGCTTTTTCAAAAATAATGTATCAAACTATTATTTATATTGATTATTAAGTTTCTGGGGCCTCACCCTAGTCCAGGCCCTAGTCAGAGTATTCAGCCCAAGCTTCCTCCTTGCAACCCTCTAGCAAAGGCCGCACCTGTCTGTCACCAGGTAGCTCTCTGGGCTCCCCTTTCTGGCTTTCACTAACCCTCCTTTCAGGTCTAGGGTAGTAACGGCTCTGCAGTGTTGCTAACATCATGCCAGCCCTTGCGCATTTTCATAAACACTTATCACAGTTTTGCAAATAGTTTATGTTTTATATTCTTAGTCACTTCCTGAGAACTGACACATGGCTCTTGTCAAGACCCTGACAGATCCATACTGCTGCCTGTTTTACAAACTCATAGCCTTCTTAGGGTTTGTTTTTGAACAGTGTTATAAGGCTCTTAATGGCAGATATGTATATGAGTAACACGTTTATTCATTCACTCATTGGAATGAAGGACACAGTTTATCCAGAGAATATGGGGTGGGAGGACTGAGGAAAAAGCAATTTTATTTAGAACCAAGGGACCACAATTGGTTTGCCATTGGCTCCTAATGGAAAGGTTGGCAGTTTGAGCCCCTCCAGCAGCTCTGAGGAAGACAGGCCTGGCAATGTACTTCCATAAAAGATTACAACTATGAAAACTCTCTGGAGTAGCTCTACTCTGTACCATGTGGGGTTGCCATAAGCCACATGCCGATTCCACTGCAGTTAACAACCACCACAAACTTAAGAAAGGCATCTCTAGAATGGTGTTTGAGAGCATCAACATGTACTTAAGCTCTACAGGTTTTTAAAGATGCAGATAAAGGTGTTGGTGATACCACAAACAGGAAAATATTCTTTATATCCTTTGTGAAAAAAATTCCAAGGGTGCTTTCTACCAAGTCTCCACTAACCATGGGCATCTCAGCTGTGGGCAATGCTCACCTTCACACTGACACTTCCTTGGAGTTTGAGCTGCAGTCTGATCATGTCTACTTCCTCCATGGTGCAAAGCTGATTGAGCTCCGAGACCTTCCTGGACATTTCATCAATGGCCACTTCAATAGGATTCAGTTCTGTGCTTGACTGGCTTACGACTTGTATCCTCTTCTTCACATAGGGGAACAAGTGACTTGCTGCCCGAGAGCAATACAAGAGAATTCAAACACTGAGGATTAGTGAAGAGCCAAAGATTCCCCCAACTCTCAGAGGACCTTGTTTTTTCATGCTACATAGTTCATTCCATATTGGATGCTACTTTTGTTTGTGATCTATTTTTTCTATGTGCCACACGTTCTCACACTTCCTAGCTTTTGCCCAGGCTGCTCTGGCTGGACACGCTCTTCTCCCTTATCTAGCTAACATGTACCTATCCTCGCGGCTGAACTAACCTTTAGAGTCTCTCAAAGGGTCTCTCTAAACAGGTATGGCTCCAATGCTAATATATACTTCAAGCAAAAGCTACACTGAACCACACTAAGGAATACCTGACTGTCTACTGAGAAGTATACATTTAAAGAGCCCTGGTGATGCAGTCATTAAGTGCTTGGCTGCTAACTGAAAGGTCAGCAGTTGGAACCCATCAGCTGCTTCATGGAAGAAAGCGTGGTATTCTGCTTCCATAAAGATTACAGCCTTGGAAACCTTATGGGGCAGTTCTACTCTGTCCTACAAGGTCACTATGAACTGGAATTGACTCAACAGAAACAGAGGAGCTCTGGTAGCATAATGCCTAAGGCATTTGACTGCTAACCAGAAGGCTGTCGGTTCAAACCCACCAGCCACTTTTTGGAAGGAAGGTTGGGCAATCTACTTCTGTAGTGATACTGCCTTAGAAACCCAAGGAGGGGTCGCTATGATTCGGGTCTGACTTGATGGCACATAACAACAACAGAAACAGTTGTGGATTTGGGGTTTAGCACACATGATAATAGTTTTGTTAAAAAAAAAATTATTATTTCAAAAGTTCTGGAGAAATTCATTGAAGGTGGACGTTTCTCATAGTTTGGATGTCATGGCTCTCTCCTTGCCTACGTCTATGGCATAACCTAGGACTGCTCATCTCTCAAGACAGCTTAGGTAGAACTTCCTCTAGAATCCCTTCGCTCATCTCCTTCACCATCAGTCTGCCTTAGGAGCCACTCACATGTGTTTCCACTTCATCATCATGCTGTGCTCACCTGAAATTCTTGTTTTTCTTGGCTCTTCTCCTACCAGACTGTGAATACCTCAAGGACAGGAATCATGTCTTAATTATTTGAAATGGCAGCATGTGGAACAGTGCCCAACACCTAGGCACTCACTGAATGCTGTCAATGAAAGGATGCCTAGCTCATAGAACAGATCTCATTAGGAAGAGGAGGGATGCTGGAGATCACTGCCTGCTTTCATCTGATAGATGAGGAACCGAAATCCCAGAGAGGTTTAGAAAACTACCTCAAAGTACACAATTATGTGAGCTTCTAACTCTAAGGTGACTGAGGGAGGATTCAGAGGAAGAGGAGAAAGGAAAGGGAAGTTCAGAGTGCCTTTCCCAAGACACTGCCTGATGATGTTAAGATCTAAAGGGAAGAGGTGGCTAAAGTAACTCTATTGACAACTTCCTCTCTGGTTGACATCTCAAGGGTCTCACTGTGAATACAAAATAACCAGTTGCCATAGAGTTGATTCCGACCCATCCATGGTGACCCTGAGTATGTCAGAGTAGAACTGCGCCCCACAAGGTTTTCAGTGGCCATGATCTTTCAGAAGTAGATTGGCAGGACTGTCTTTTGAGGAGTCCTCTGGGTGGACTCCAACCCCCAGTCTTTCAATCAGCAGCTGAGCACATTAACTGTCTGTACCCAGGAACTCCTGGTACAGAAGAGGGGGAGATTCTGGACACATATTGACAAGTTAACAAATTTTGGGTACGTTTTGATTTCCACTAACCCCGCCTAACAGAGGCACCTTCCTTGAAGACAAGGCTCTTGCTTCCAGCTGCACCTACTTGTCAGGATCGTCCTCCGCTTGCATTGCTCCTCCACTCCGCCATGCTTCTTGCCTGACAGCGTAAAGGGGGTCTCAAAGACAAAGCGGTTGATGTTGTGATGCATCTCGAAATCTGTCTTCCGGTCCTCTATTTCCTTTTCCTCGAAGAATGGTGTGACATACGTTACCTGGATGTAGGCATATTTGGGGTCCAAATCTTTGGGGTTGACCTGTGTTAACAGAATAAAGGAAAAGAAAGAGCGGTGAGCTATCGAGTGCTCCTGAAATAAAGTCAAGAAGCTCTGACTTTCTTCAGCTAGCATCCCAAGGAGGCTGTCCCTCACCCCTTGGAGAAAAGCAGGCAACCATAAGATTTCAGAACTGGATGGGACCTTAGACAGACTATGTGGCTGGCCTGTGGCCTAGCAGACAGGACCAAGGTAGGACAGGGCCATCTCTCCTGAAACTTAGACTTGGCACCATAAGCATTCCATGTTAGCTTATTACTGAATTGGCTTTTTCTCTTCTATAATGATTGTCCACCTTGGTCTAGAATGCAAACTTCTTGAGAGTAGAAATACATCTCTTTGTCCCTTTATGATTTGGTCATGTCTCTAGACTGGGGCCATGGGCTCAAGGCTTATGAGGAAGGAAGTTCTTTGTCTGTTCAATGTATCATCTAACTATTCCATCACATGCTTGCAAATATTTTGTTTTCAAATTTCTCAAATTCCTTTCTCATCTGCAACAAATAATTGTACACAATGATTCTATATAATGCTGTTCTGTTTTGGTGGTGGTGGTGTTAGGTGCTGTCAAGTTGCTTCTGACTCATAGAGACTCATGTACAACACAACGAAGCACGGCCCAGTCCTGCACCATTCTCACAATTGGTGCTATGTTTGAGTCCATTGTAGCTGCTGTCAATCCATCTCAATGAGGGTTTTCCTCTTTTTGACCAGCCTTCTCCTTGACCAAGCATGATGTCCTTCTTCAGGGACTGGTCCCTCCTGATAATATTCCTAAAATACATGAAATGAAGTCTTGCCATCCTTGCTTTTAAGAACATTCTGACTGTACTTCTTCCAAGACAGATTTGTTCGTTCTTCTGGCAGTCTATGGTGTATTTTTTTTTTTTTTTTCCATCAACATCATAATTTAAGGGCATCAATTCTTCTTCAGTCTTCCTTATTCATTGTCCAGCTTTTGCATGCATATGAGGCAACTGAAAATACCATGTCTTGGGCCTGGCTTACCTTAGTCTTCTTAGTGTCATCTTTGTTTTTTAACATGTGAGAAATAACAAGGAAAGTAGGTGAGGATCCCAAGAAAAAGTAAAGGCATTTCCTTCAACATTGGAAGAGATGATTTTTAGTCCCTTTTTTCATACTTTGAAGAATTTTCAAACTTCTCTTCATCCATATACCCATCTACTGCCTATCCAATTCCAGAGATTTAAGGAAGCTCATGAATTTACTTGTGATGCTATTAACAAATACATTGCAAGATAGTATATTTGTAACCATTTAATAGTTAAAAAAAAGGAAGTTCAGAGTGGTCAGTTAGCTTCTCCAAGATCGCCAGTGGTGATATGGACACTCCAGTTTTTCTGACACCAACTGTGGCATTTTTATCATCTCACATGGAACTCTGTATGTACTTTCACTTAGAAATGCCACCACCAGAGTGATTCTAGCTCTGTCTACTTTGATGGAAAATGTGCTTGCATGTTCAAGCAAAGACGGAGAATGCTGAACATATCTTCAACAAATTCTCCCCAAACTCAATGATCTCATGTCCAGATCTTTCCAGATACTAGCTTTGTAAGAGAATGGGGTGTGTGTGGGGGGAAGTAGTCCCTCTTTATGGTCCAACAGAGCCCTACACCATTGGGCACCAATAGCATTTCCATCTCTGTCTCCTGCCACACTCTCCCATCTAATACGTGTTCTAAAGATCTGCTGTTCTCGAAGCACACCTCCCCTTCTTTATCCCTACCCCTGCTTATACCAGTCCCTCCCAGAATGCCCTCTGCTTCTGGCAAACACTTTCTCATCTTTCAATTCTCAGACCAAGTATCACTTCCTCTGTGAATGTTGCCTATGCAGAAAGCACTGGTCAGGGAAGTCCCTCCCCTGAACTTCCTCTGTGCTAGTTGGACTAAGGCTCTCTGGTTCATTAACTTCATTACACTCTTTCATTGGTTTTGCACACTTCCTTCTCTTCTCAGTCCCATGTGAACTGTGAGCTCTGGAAGGAACACTGTGTGTAATCCTAGCTCCTGGGCCTGTACCTGGCATGGAACAGGTGCTGAATAGAGGTTGCCTGAATAAATCAAAGGAGATTAGAAACTTCTGAGTCATCTAGGCTGTAAACATTTGCTTTCTGGAGCCATGAGGAGGTTAATAGGATGCTCACAAGTTAATATAATATAATCACTACGTGTATCACTAGCATAGAAGACTGATCTCAAAATGGTATAATTTCAAAGTGCAGAGAGATCTCTCTGACTGAATAATTCCTTCCAACTTGCTATTTCCTCCAGTTTCACCACTGGACCTGATCACTTTAAGGCTGTGTTATTCAAATAGCAGTAATAAAATAGTGATCTACTGGAGAAGAAAAGAATGCATTAACTTGTTTCTAGGAACTGCCTAACAACATTAGTCAAATAAAACATAAATAAACCTTTGTTTTTGACAAAATGACACCACCAACAAACCAATCATCCAATAAAAATTATTATAAATAAAGAAAGAAAAGAAAAAACCTAGCTAGTTTAGTTTATTTTGCATCTAGGCAAAAAATTAAAACTTTCGTAGATGGAGGTGACACAAAACAACCCTTTAAGTGACTTCCAAGCGCGGGCGTGGATGTGGGCTGCCCTGTACCTTGTTGGAATCCTGGATGATCTTCACGTTGTCTGCTCCGAATTTATCTGCGTAGAGCTTCAGCAGCCTCTGGGAAATCTCAGAGAGACCTGTCAGCTTAGGCTCTTTATAAATATACTCTTTGCCTTCTTCTTCTTCAAAAAAGCCCTATGAAAGATAATGAACCCCCAATTTTATTACAGAACTTCAACTACATATCACAAGTCCAAGAAAAACCAGTCACTGAAAAAACAAAGTCCCTTTCGGTCTTCATCCAAGGCATTGATTAGCAAACTGTAAAATTCAAAACCAGAAGAGACTGAAGTAACGATAAGAAAATACCGGAATCAGACGTTTTAGTGTAAACCTTCCCTAGGCAGGCCACACAAGCTCATGAAATATCTTACGCATATTTTCCCTATTTGAGGTGATGAACGGTAATGCGTGATGGTGCGTATTGTGGAGGAAGACTGCCATCACGTGGTATCTTGAGGTAGAACACAAAGTTGGGAGTAATTTGTGGCATTATTCAAAAAGAAGTATCATTTTTAGGTGGTGTAGTGCCTAAGGCATTTGACTGCTAACCAGAGGCTGGTAGTTCAAACCCACCAGCCACTCCTTGGAAGGATGGTTGGCCAATGTACTTCCGTAGTGATGCCACCTCAAAAACCCAAGGAGGGGTCCCTATGAGTCTGATCCAACTCCACAGCAGTGAGTTGTTTTTTTTTTTAAATCAGTCGTTGAAACTAGCATGGGAAACACTGAATAGCATGTAAAGGTATCTATGCTAATCATCATTCATCTCACATCATTTTAGAAAAAAAAAATCACAATGCTTTGCATTAGAAAATACATACATTATGCTTCAAAGTGTTGGTATATTTATAATCAGTTTCTTCAGGAACCTGATGCAACTTTGGTCCATGTAATTTCATTATTTGAATTACTTTACTAGGAGATCTTTTACATTCTTACAAAGGATTAAAAAGAGTAACCAAGTCATCATCTTAATTCCATAGGAACAAGTGGTTTAACATTAATTTATTCAGCTGATTGGAAGTAAGGAAAAGGGAAGCTTGAAGGGTAACTGAGGGAGGCAATGTTTAGAGTTTTTCCTCCTTAAAGGGACATGGACATATTTTCTCTGTGGAATCCAGGTGCCCCCCATATACTAAATTAAGGGAGGAGTTAAGAACTTAAGTACACCTGGTTTCTTCTGACTGCCCAGTTCATCATCAAGGAAACAGTTCTCAAGGTCTGGCTGAAGCTACTGGAGGTCAGAAAGAAATGTAGCTGTCCCTGTGGCTTTTCATCATTTTTGTGTGCTCAAGAAAATCTCTATTGATTTAGAAAACACTGATAAAATGTTGCAATGTCTTATTTTTCATGGCTGATAGAAGGTAATCTAAGAATAATGATTAAAACTTGCATCTGTATGGTGCTTTATAAATGTAAAGCACTTTCACCCATGTAGCAATGGTGACAAAAAATCTGGAAAAACAGAGGTATGGGGAGGTGAGACAGGGGCAGTTTTTCTTTTGCTTTTACCCCTGAAGTTATGATAGAGTGCATGATCAAGGCAGTGGGAAATGTCACCTCTAGCTTGATTTTTTTAAAATGCCATTTTATAATGCAGTAAAGCCATGGTATTTTCAACTGCCTCATATGCACGTAAGAGCTGGATAATGAATAAGGCAGACCAAAGAAGATTGGATGGTTTTGTGCTGTGGTGTTGGTGAAGAATGCTGAAAGTACCATGGACTGCCAGAAGAACTAACAAATCCATCCTGGAAGAAGTGCAGCCAGAATGCTCCTTGGAAGCGAGAATGGCCAGACTTCGTCTCACCTGCTTTGGTCATGTTGTCAGAAGGGACCATTCCTTGGAGAAGAATATCATGCTTGAGAAAGGAAAGTAGCGGGTCAGTGAAAAAGACGAAGGATCTCAATGAGATGGATTGACACAATGGCTGCAACGATAGGTTTAGGTATAGCAAGGACTGTGAGGCTGGCAACAGGACCGGGCAGTGTTTCGTTCTGTTGTGCACAGGGTCGCTATGAGTCAGAGATGACTCAATGACACCTAACAACAACAACAAAGGCCCCCTCTGTTGTGTGCAGGATATGGCACATTCTAGCTAAACAACCACTTTGAGTTAATAGAGCCAACATGCATGGACTATGACATTTCAAAGGAAGAGATTATGATAAAAATGTACTTCAAAACAGTGACAACCAAATCGTTGACTCTTTCTTAGAGGTTTCTGAAAATAATTCAGGATCTTTCAATGCCCTGAATCATCTTCCCACTGCCATTGAGCCAGAGAATTGCCCCTTAAGGTTACCAAGGCTGTAAATCTTTATGGAAACCGGCTGCCTCATATTTCTCCCATGGAGCCTCTTGGGTGTTCGAACTGCTAACCTTTTGGTTAGCAGCTGAATGCTTTAACCACTGTGCCACCAGAGCTCCTACAAATCAGCTCAGGGATGTCAAATATAAATGGCCCTGCTTTATATTAGATTTCAAATGCGTAAGCAGAATGATGCATTCAAAGAGGAATCTAATGTGAAAAAGAAGGGTCAGAAAATGTAAATGATAGGCCAAATGCTAAGAAAGGAGAAGCTACAAGAATGCAGAGAAATGTTTAATATAAACGTAAACTCAATTGTCATGTTTATATATATAACTCTGTGACAGCAACTTTGAGATAGGTGGGGAGAGGAAGCATGTATGACATCTCAAGATGGAGACAGTAGTTCTCAAACAGTTCATGCACCTCCTTTCTCTTCTTCTCCACCCACTTCCTGCCATCCCTTTTCTGTCAAGATTCTGAGATGCATTTACAATCAAGAAGGCTTGATTGAGAAGCACAGAACTATATCCTTTGGTGACTTGGGAACATTCTTCTACATTTTTCATTGCATCAATTTCAAGGACGTCCAGTTTTTGCAGACATGCAAGAGGCATTTCCTGGTTTATTTCATGCTAAACACCAGTGCCTGAGGATTTCACTGACTGCTGTTGATGTCTGATCATGACTGTCCTTTCATTCCTCTGGAAATTAAGTACTTTAGGGACACATTGGAGGATGTGTTATATAATCAACTCTGTGTAAAATTTCCAGAGCTAGTGGTGCCTGCCAGCTACTGCATTAGACACTTTATGTCATCCAAGACCTGCATTTTTAAGGGTTCTGCAATGAAAGAGCACTTTTCAATTTGTTTTCTAGTATCATCATTAATTCAATTTGTTTTCTAACTCATCATTAATTGCAGACACAATTAATATTAAATGTCCTAATCAATACTATAAAATCAAAACACTAGTCTTACGGGATGCTAAAATATTTATCCACAGGCTTATGTGGATGAAAAGAGCATATTTTAAATTGTATATCCACAATTTTTGTAACATGATGATGGCAAGATGTTAAGTTGGATGTTAAGAGATGTATTTTACAGGGACTATCCAAAGAGCTCTGGTGGTGCAGTGCATAAGGCATCTGACTGCTAACCAGAAGGTTGGGGGTTCAAACCCACCAGCCACTCTGTGGAAGGAAGACAGGGCAATCTACTTCTGTAAAGATTTACCACCTTGGATACCCAATGGGTGTCACTATGAGTTGGAATCAACTCGACGGCAGTGGGTTTGAGTTTGGAAAGTGCTATCACGAAAAAGAAATTACTTCTGTGCCTGGGGACTATGCTAACCAAGTAGTGGAGACTTTATCTAAGATCACTGGAAACTCTGTTCTGTTCCCCTTCTGGGTCATGCTCAAGACCATCTGGTATTTATCAGCAAGAGAGAAGCGATGTGTGCTGCGTGCCCCTGCTGAATCCCAGAGTTCACACTCCTCCTTGGTGTCTGGGAGAGGTATGAGTGTCATCTGAATAATGATCACTGAGGCTGGCTCTAATTTGCTGCTTATCACGACCACTTCCATTAGTTCCACTTGTTCAGAAACAGCTGGGGTGTGAGCTCATAGGGTGCTGTGCTTATGCATGTTCTCACGTCTGCAGATTTAAAAACATGCCTGGTCTTTTAAGGTCACGTTGAAACTTAATGTAAGTGACAATCGAGAATACTGGCTGAATAAAACAAAACAAAACAAACAAAACACGACAATAACAATAACAACAACAAAGGCATCAGCCCGCTGTACTGAGGAGTCTGGAAAAAGAACAAAGTTAAGTCATTTGAAAGTAGCTCCCCCGTCCTCCCCCATTGTCCCCCTCAGTCCTTTTAGTAAGGGGTTTTCAAGTATTCGTTTAGTAGGTGAGTTAAGAACCAAGGACCACAAATTTATAAATGAAGGTAGAAAATATTGGTATGGTATGGAAAGGGGAAGGACTTTAAAGAATTACAAAAAAGTATGTGCCGGGCAGACAAGCAGAGCTGAATCTGGGTAGACAATGTGCGGCTCTTGAATGAACTTTTCAGTTTAATCAGTAACAGATTGAACCATGTGAAGTTGCTGATTTTGTAAGTAAACAAAAAGTTGGTTATGAGCAATTTCATATAGTTCAAAGTCATATGAAGAAAATTCTTGGTCTCAAAGCTTCAGGTCCTGGCAGCTTATTCCTGCCTAGGCCCGTTTTCCAAATTTACTGCATCACTTCTTTCTGCCTTTCTTGAGGCTTGCCCTGGCCCACGGGGTAAAGGTTTATTCCACTGTCTTTTGCATCGGGATGTGCATTTTGACGCTTCCCACTACCTCTGAGAATGCTTTGAGTTACGACCACAGACAGCCCCTCTCCAGGATACTCCTCTGGAAAAGGGCAGAGGCCTTTCAAGACTCTAGGAAGGTGCCCCTTCGTCAGCCACCACTCCAGAACTGAAGCTCCGGCCACCATGTTCTTGTTCCTAAACGTAATACACAGTAACCTGGTCTGAGCAGGAAATCTCCAATGCTGAGCCTACCATGTACATGTTTCAAGATTTGGTACCCCTATTAATCTCTGTGTGTGTCAGCTCTCAGACTACATTTCTGTAGAAAGAAAATATATGAACAATAAAGGATACATTTTTGTAATTCTGATAACTCTAAGAAACCCAATGTAGTTCAAGAAATGCAGAATGACTCCAAAATGAACGAGCATGAGATTATTTCATCCTTTGGACTAAACGTTGATTTGCACAAAAAAGTTACGGTTCAGTACAACCATAGGAGGGATGTGTGAGGACTATTAGAACATGCACACGGACAGAGAGGGAGAGAGAACTTACCACAGCCTGGAACCATCAAGACCAAAAGAAGAAAAGAGTAAACATCTGTGTTAACAACTGGTTGGAAGGCAGTGTGATTCATTTCAACCTGTTTAACAGCCTGTATCTTAGATGTTGACTTGCAGAAACCATCAGTTAAGTGATCTGGCTTTCACGACCGTGAGTAAATGAAATAATATGAGCGTTCATTACCTTCTTGTTGGAAAGATGGCCTGAACATTTGTAAAGTCAAGCATTGGTTAGCCAAGCACACATATTATATGCCACTTTGGTGCTGTCAGTTGGCCTGTGGCCACTTCCCTGGAATTCTGTCTTTCCCCTGCAGACCCTCAACTGCCACATCTCTCTGAGAGCTTTCTCTGGCACTTGCTTGACTAATGTCTCACGTTGGTCACAGACTGTTCATTTCCTCTCCTGTGATTCCCTTCTCTCTCTCCTGCTGATACACACTCTCCCTTCAGATAGCTCAGTTCCTTTTCCTTGGACTTAGGAAAATGACTGCACTTTCACTAGCCTGTGTCCCCAGATCTCCATTCTTCAGAGCAGGTTAACCATTTTACATGGGTTTAGTTAGGTCATCGCTCCCTGCAATGACTAGCCTCCTGTCTCCACGCCCCCAGCGTTCCTGAGCAGTGAGGAAAATCTGAGTCGGATGAACTGCTTTATGGTAAGAGGCTGCTCAGTGACACCGTCTTTCCCAATAAATAACAACTGTCTTTCTTAGTTGAGAAGTTCATTTTAAAGCTGCCATTGGTGATGGGGCGGGGAGCAAAGAAGATGCTTTCCAATAGACTTCAACAGAAATGATCTAGAATGACTAAGCTGGTTTGATTCCTGCAGGGGCAGCCTTAAAAGGCCCTGAGGAGAACAGGAAGTTCAGTGTTTTCACACGAGGGGACAAAAGGGAAGGGACAGGTCTGAGAGCCATTCCAACTGTGAAAATGAAAGAATGAAATTCTCATCCATAAGACAGAGTTTGAAGCAGTCTGGCTGAAAAGTAATAGCATCACAAGCCTCCTTGAGAGCAAACGGGAGGGTGCCTGGGTTTATCCCATCTAAGGCAGTGCTCAGAGACATTCATAATTCACATATAATAGGGTCACTTTCAGGCCAATGCTATCATTAGCTAATACGTTCAATCTTGTTCATGACTTCTGTGGTAAGCTCAGAGTTAACTTTAAAAATGACATTGACTGATGATACAGGAAAAGCACCAACCATATAGTATTCTGCCTAAAAACTGCGGTAGTTTGAAAGATGAAAAGAACTTGCATGACTGTAAAGTCAAAAGTTTCTAACTTTGACATGGTGGACCCTCAATTGCTTGATGTCCTAGAAAGCCATGGTTATGGAGAAATTCATTTCTTAAAACATTTTCCATTGAATTTGGCTTTAACATATGACAGAAAGCCCTACTTGATATTTTGGGGTGAACTGGGGAGTAGAGGATGATGGCATATAAGACAATGATAGTGTCCTCTTCTTCCAAGAAGTTAGGAATCATTGTGTTTAGCTCCATCTGTTTAAGGCTCCCAGATTTCTCTGCTAATTTGTTTTCCACTTTAGTACATTCCCAGGAGCAAATGTATACACAGTCACACCTGGAGAAATGCTCAGATTTACTCAGATACACTCGAAGCCACATACACACACGCCCCAGTCCATTGGCACATACAGAATGAAACACAGCACTCAACTGCTCAAGAGAATTTAGAGACATTTCTTCTAGTGAACTTACCTGCCCATAAAATGCCACACGATAGTAGCGACCAAACAGTCGCTTCTCTGAGTTCACCACCTCTGCAACTTTCAGATATGACCGGTGAATGTCATAGTAGAGATCTGATAATTTCTGAAAGCATAAAATGAAAGGCATGAAGATGATTCTGACCATAAACTAGGGTCTATCTGCTTTTGAGAATCGTTAAGTAATCCACCCAGTTCAAGGAGGAGATTTCAACCAACTTCTAGGTATTTGTAAAACATACTTTGAAGTCTCTCTGCTTCTCGAAGACAGCAATGATGGGTTTGTTGACATCAGCAATGAGTTCGTATCTCTCGGACTTCCAAAGAAACTCCACACACATGTACAGCTGCTCCACCAGGATATTCTGCAATTTCCCAAATCAAAATGAGATTTTACATGGTTAATACTGTGGCATATCACTGAAGCTTGGTTTCAAAACAACTGCATTGTCAATGATTTTTTTAAGAGGGGTTTCTGGGTTCTGTATCTCAGTTATGGAGGTCCCGGGTGGCGCGAGCACCTAAGCACTTGGCTACTAATGGAAGTGTTACTGGTTTGAATCTGCCCAGAGGTGCCTTGGCAAAAGGCCTGGCGATCTACTCCTGAGAGATCATGGCCACTGAACTACTGAAAGCTTATGGCATGCAGTTCTGCTGTGACAAACATGGTGTTGCCATGAGTTGGAATCAACTTGGAAACTTTTTGTGTTTCTATTTGATTATTGGCATTTACCAAGCAAGGGATCTTGGTGCTATCTTGGATCTTCCTCTTTCCCTGACTATTGTCATTTAACTAGACTCCTGAGAGTGCTAGAGGCCCTAGTGATGCTGTGGTTAAATGCTTGACTGCTAATCGAAAGACTGGTGGATCAAATCACCACCCTCTCCTCAGGAGAAAGATGTGAGCTTTTTAATGACCTTTTGCTTTCATCATGTATGAAGTGTCATCTCACAACTTGTCTGGTCTTGGGTCATTAGAACCTGTTCAATACCAGAAAAATCAAACTCACTGCCATCAAGTCAATTCAACTCACAGCGACTCCCTTTGGGATTCTGAGGCAGTAAATCTTTACTGAAGCAGATTGCTCAGTCTTCCTTCTGTGGAGTGGCTGGTGGGTTTGAACCATCAATCTTCTATTGATATGATCTCTAATTTCAGGTGAGATATTATCAAGGTTGTAATTGGGCTCGAACGTATTTGATTTAATTTTCTTCAGTTTCAATTTGAACTTGCATATGAGCATTGATGGTCTGCTCCACAGTCAGCCCCTGGCCTTGTTCTGCCTGATAATGTTGAGCTTGTTTATAGCTTCTTTCCACAGATGTAGTCTATTGGACTCTGCATACACAAGCCGATGAAGTCCATGTGCATAGTTGCTGTTTATGTTGTTGGAAAGGGATTTCTACAGAATAGGTCATTGTCTTGCAAAATTCTATCATGTAATCTCTGGTGTTTGTATCACCAATGTCCTATTTTCCAACTACCTATCTTTGTTTGTTTCCAACTTTCACATTCCAATCATCAGTAATTATCAATGCATCTTGATTGCATGTTTGATCAATTTCCAACTGCAGACACTGGTAAAATCTTTAATTCCTTCATCTCTGGCATTAGTAGTCGGTGCATAAATTCAAATATTAATTGTATAAAGTGGACTTCCTTGTAGGCATATAGATATTATCCCATCACTGACAGTGTTGTACTTCAGGATCGATACTGAAATGTTTGTTTTGACAGTGAATGCAATGATATCCCTCCTCAATTTGTCATTCTTGGCATAGTAGACCAGATGACTGTCTGATTCAAAATAGCTAATACCAGTCCATTTCAGCTCACTAACACTTAGGATAGGAGCTCTGGTAGCATAGTGCCTAAGGCACTTGACTGCTAACCAGAAGGCTGGCGGTTCAAACCCACCAGCCACTCCTCGGAAGGAAGATGAGGCAATCTACTTCCGTAGTGATACTGCCTCAGAAACCCAAGGAGGGGTCGCTATGAGTCGGGTCCGACTCGATGGCACATAACAACAACAACAACAACAACGCTTAGGATATTGATCTTCATGCATTCCGTTTCATTTTTGATGATTTCTAGTTTTCCTAGATTGCTACTTTGTACATTCCACATTCTGATTATTAATGGACGTTTGCAGCTGTTTCTTCTCATTTTGAGTCTTGCCACATCAGCAACTGAAGGTCCCAAAAGTTACACTCCACCTACGTCATTAAAGCAGATTCTACTTGAGGAGGCAGGTCTTCCCCAGTCGTATACTGAGTGCCTTCCAAACTGAAGAGCTCTCATCTTCTGGCACTGTATCAATGTCTTGCCACTATTCACAACAATCTCAGGGACCAGTTTTCTTTTTTAAGTAGATTGCCAGGTCCTTCTTCCTAGTCTTAGTCTGGATGTTCTACTGAAACCTGTCCACCATGGGTGACCCTCCTGGTATTGGAAATACCCATGGTATAGAGTTAGGGTCACAGCAACACCCAAGCCACCACAGTATGAAAAATGACAGACAAGTGGTGGAGGAAATAGTTCAAACAGATGTATGATTGCCCTTGTTCTTTTTATTTATAATGTCCACTAAATTAATGCAGAACTATATGGAAACTTTCCTTAAAATCCACTCCTATGTGAGAAAACACTTGGTAAATTTGCAGTCTGTATTTTGTTCCCCCCCCCTGTAATATTATGATGTTAAAAAAATAGTTTGTGTAAAATTTTATTCACTTGATAAAGGGAGGTTTATTCTCTTCATCACAATCATTGCTAAAGAATTCCCAACAGAAAGGTTCTTTTTTCTTCATTAGTGAAAAATTGTCATGGTGTGTGTACCAGAAGAATTTCAATGGAAAATAGCAAGTGTTTCTGCTCAATTGCATTTGTGACTAAACTTGTATCAACACAAACAAATACCCAACCAAAGCTGCAATGAGCTCACATAGCATCTCCCACAACGCTGCCCAAAGTCTAGAGATTGTATATCTTATAAAACACCCGATCACATACATGTACATTTGGATAAATGCTTTGATAAGTAAAGCTTGATTTAAATCTTCAATGAAAATTATGCTTTTATCAACAGAGTTTAATATCTGTTAATTATGGCTAACTTTTAGCCTGTCTTTCATAAGGCATGTGTAGACTAACTTTTTCTGACTTCTGAATAAGTTTTCTTTCTTTTTTTTTTTTTCTATCTAGCTTAGTGTGCAATCCTTTGCACATTTTTAATCGGTTAGTTACTGTGTATTCAACATGTTCTGCTCTGACCTCATTGTACGGTGTGTCCTGCATGCCTGAATCTTCTTTCATTGCTCCTTCTTCTTTTATGTTTGGTGTGATGCTCAGAAAAGCTGGCCAGCCCATTGAGAACATGCCTTAAGAGGATCAAGAAAAATACATAATTATCATTGGAGCCAAATTTTGCTTCAGTTAGGTAATGTTACAAGTGGTAGAAAAACAAAGCTCACATACTCCATGAGGTGGGTAGATTGGGATTGTTGAAAAATACTCTTTGCCTGGCAACCAATGTTTCCTTTTTTATAATTTTTGTATTATTTTCAGGTAGCACATGTCCTATAAACATCTGGATTAGAGTATGAGCAAAACATGGGATCTGTACGTGGACCTCATGCCAACATACTAGCTTTACTGACTTCTCTGAGCCCGTTCCCTTCACTTGGTAAACTGGAGACAATCTTATCACCTCAAAGGATGGTTGAGAGGGTTCCAAACAGTATTTGAGAAAACCCCTTGTACTATCAGTGTAGGACACAGTATGCATTAATTTCTACTCTTTAGCCTTATTCAAGAAACTTTCCAAATTTTCTCAGCATCTTGGCCACCAACATTAGCAAAGACCTATCTGTAAAGATACATGAAGGCACTTGATAATGGATCATGTTCCAGAAGAGGGATCAGACACGATTGAGTGGGGATATGAGTGGCAAGGATCACAGGCTGGACCCAGCACAAACTAACCAGGAGCTCTAGAGTAGTTTATTTACTTCTCCAGATGTCAGTTTTCCCAGCTGTAGTAAGGATGTGGTAATAGCACCTAATCCATAGAACTGCCATTGATTACTAATTGACATATTGCTGACAGAGTGCTTAGTGCATGGCTTCCATGCAGCCAGTGTTTTAAAAATGATTGTGAATACTTGTGTGGGATGTTTCCATATTTAATAATCACCTCGTTGGCTATGTAACTAAATCATCACCCCCAATACACGTTACAACTTATAATTATTATTGCAACTAAATCATTGTGGTAAAATTCTACTTTCCTACTTTTTCATGACAACATAGCATCAGTAATTAAATGTGTATTAAAACACATGAGAATTGACTGGAAAAGGAAAAGTCACACCACACTTGTTGCAGGATGATGATCATTTATCATTATGGCCGAGGGAGCTGTACTTTCTGGAGTCCCCTATATGTGTACTTTGTAGTGAAGGGATATTTTACTCCTCTGATTCAAAACACCATGTCATAAAGTTACATTAAGAGCTTAAGATGTCTGCAAATGAGCCTCAGATATGTGCCAACGGGTATGAATTTATACTAAACCAAAGGAAAAAGAAAAATTCACTGCTAATGAGTCGATTCCAATTCATAATGATCCTAGAGGACAGAGTAGAACTGCCTCATAGGGCCTCTAAGGCTGTGAATCTTTATGGAAGCAGACTGCCTCATCTTTCTTCCATGGAGCTGCTGGTGGTTTCCAACCACTGACCTTCTGGTTAGCAGCTGAACACTTTAATCACCGTACCTCTAGGGCTCCTGAGTATGTACTAATGCACCACAAGTAATCATTTTACTTAAAGTTTACTAAATTGATATATCCTTGTTTTGATGGAGACATTATATTCTAATAGAACTTTAGGTCTAAAAGTGGGTACTTTACCATTTTTGGGTATTAAGGGCTCACACAGCTTGTTGGGACATGAAGTGTCTACACATTCTCAAAATGACACCTGGTTTTATCAAGTTTCTTCAATTTGTTTTTAGTTAGAATTTGAAATAGTCTCCATGGAACTGTATTCAATTATGATTGAAAATAGACGGGAAGGAAAGGCACATTAAATAAAGCAATGATATTCTGATGACTTGCCTTTAAAAATAAAGCTAAATACAAAAGTGGGCCAGGCAAGGAGAGACCTTGACTTTAGAGGGGTGTGAACCACGGTCTCCAAGGCCCTCACACAAGGCGGCTCATCGTTTCATGGTTCATTTTGGGTCATTTGATGCAAATGTCTCCTTTGGAAAATCCACTGCAATATACACTTATTTAAAGAAGTGATCAATTATGTTTCCAAAATATCGCAATTAAAGTGCATTTATGTTTTGAAACTTAAGATAGTATATCAAATATACTGCAGTTCATTAACACTTTGGTTTGAACCAATTTTTGAAAGAGAATGGAGACTGAATATGTTAACTCTACTGTCCCTAATATTCTACAAAGAGCAACTCCTTATTGTTACCGAATATTTTTATCAGACATTAAAGACGGAATATTTTTGATTAAAGGATATCTATGTCATAAACTGTTATATGTTAGGATTGTCAAAATCAGTTTATGCTTTTAAATTAAATGGAACCTGTTGATTATATAGTCCTACATCTTTGCTATAGTCAACTCTCCATTTATATCCTTTTTTATGAGTAGTTTTATTATATTTGCTTATTAAAATGTACTCCTCTTATAATTTTAAAGAATTCATCAATTTCAGATCAAAATCCCAAGGGCAGACCGGCATGCAGACTGACAGCAAAGTATGGCCATACCCCCTAATCCTGAGTATTTGGTTAACATGCAGCTCAGTACACAGCACTCTCCTGTAATCTGAACTTCATAAATTTGGGATGGTCCTTCTGAATGGTAAGAACTTAAGGTTTTCACAGAGTAAGTCAAATATGTCTGAGATATTTTTGCTTCTAGGAATCCACTTATAAAGGTTTCCTTGTAGTAAAATGAAAGCAAACACTTGATTTCTTCTGCACTGCTAGGCGGGGATGAATGAGCATGGTTAGACCACTCACTTCCTCCACTGGGAGTTGTTAGTAATGGGTTGCTATCACAGGGGTGGGCATCCTCCAGGTGCAGGGATGGTGTGCAAATCTTTTCCATTTTCCAGTAACCTATGGTAGTGCAAGATGAGGTTAGAACACGGCCACACATTTGTGTTAACACCACTTATTAAACTGTAACTCATTAAGCAACAGAGCGTTCTCATTTTGAACAAGATGCTGACCACCCAGTTGGTCTTGCTGAACATGAAACATGATTACAGCACAATGGAGAGTGAAAATTTAAGATGAAACCATAATTAGAAATATCAGTGGAAGTACATGTGGCTTTTTAAAACATAAATGAATAAAATAAAAAGTTAATAAATTAAGTTAGGTTTCATGATGTTTATTTCTGGACTTTTTCACCTTACATGGTCATCTTACCCTTTCTTTTCAGGTATTCTGCGATGAGGGCAGCTATATGGATGTAACACATAGCAGCCTGAAATAAGACAGAAACAAAGAGGTTAAGAGGAAGGAATATCAGGGATTATACTATTTCTTTAATTAGAACTAATCTTCCCAGGTGAAGCTGAATTTCATGTCAGATATATAAGAATTCTTTGTAATGATAGAATTAAAAATAAGAATCAGTTATATTTTAAAAAAAACTTAAATGAGTATATGGGAATTTTTGTTTGTTTAGTGGCTCAACTTTTAAAGTGCTTGGCTGCTGACTGAAAGGTTGGTAGTTTGAATCCAGCCAGAGGTAGCTTGGATGAAAGCCTGGTGATCTAGTTTTGAATGATCACAGCCATTGGGACCCCCATGGAGCACACAGTTCTGCTCTGACACACATAGGGTCACCAAGAGTCAGAACCAAATTAATGGCAACTGGTTTGGTTTTAGTTTCATTTCTCTACGTAGTTTACAAACAGGTGACTAAGCTGGCCTAAAGAATTTTCAAGAGAATTATCTTTCCTCCTTAGAATCCAGACTAAAATTTGTCTGGAGCCATGGTTCTTTCTTCTTACAAAAAAAAAAAAAAAAATCTATAAACTCTAGCATCTGGATCTAAGTGGGAAGTAAAAATGAGTTGCCTCCTTACTTTTTCTACCTCCACTAATGGTCCCTCTTCAAATTTCAATTGCTCTTAAAATGGTCTCTTGTTTAAACAGTGTGACTGTCTTATGTAGCCTGTGTATTCTTCATCCCCAAACTAGGTAATATGGGGGATATTTCATTTTCTCTCGATCCCCTACAAAGCCTTGAACAGTGCTGAAGACCAACATTCTAACAATTTGACTAGTTGAAGATTCAGTAGAACTTCAGCTTTTATCTTCTGAATTTTTATGGAAGAATGCCACCATTTTTAGGATATTTCAAGGGTACAGGAGTTTTTCATTCTTGCTCTCATTAAACTACAGCCAACCCAGGCCTCTGGTTGGCTCTATCTCCTTTTCAGAGCGTCTAATCACCATGTGTGCTCAGAAGGGCCACATGTTTAGGACTGCCCAAGACAAATCAATCACTTTGCAGAAGGGGCATATTTCTGGAAGAGGTCGGAACTTCCCTACTGGGTACCCAGGAGTCACTTGGCTGGATATAAATCCTTCCAATGTTTAAACTGACATTAAAAAAAAAGCTGCACACTGATTTATAATCTCCACATAGTGGTCTCTCCACTATGGCTCTTAGGAGTGTTAATTTTTCCACCATCATTGCCATAAGCTGCCAATTAAGGACTGATTACCCTGATGGCACAGTGGATAAGACAGTTGACTGCTAACTGGAAGGTCAGTGGTTCAACCCACCAGCTGCTCCACAGAAGGAAGATTGGGCGATCTACTTCCATAAAGACTTACAGCCTCAGAAACCCAGTGGGGGCCACTATGAGTTGGAAAAGACTTGATGGCAGTGAGTTTAGTTTTTTTGGTTTACCCCTGGCTGAGTTTACTTACCATGGTGGTGACCTTCCCTGTTCAGTTTTTTCTTTCTTAAAGAAATTTTATATATAACAAAACATTTGCCATTTCAATTATTTTACATGTACAATTCAGTGACATTAATTATATTCACCATGTTTTACAAGCAGCGCCAGTATCCGTTTCCCATTTTTTTCATCATAGAAACTCAGTGTCCCTTAAGCAACGTTTCCTCAGTCTTCTCTCTTCCCTCATTTTCCTCTTTTCCTCACCTCCCTCTGCTCAATTTTAATTATGGGGAAGAATTTTAAAAATACAGAATATTGATTTATATAACTTATATTTCCAGACATCCTTATCCCCATCCTCCATAGCCTCAGATTTTCAATACTGAGCTCTGCATTGCATGTCTTACAATTGCTGTTGTCATCATATAGACTCTGGTCCTTATTTGACATCATTTACTTGGACTCAGGTGCCCTAAACCTACACACAAATTAAAGTGCATAATATATAATGGGGTCATATTTAGATTAGTGGAAAACATCGTAACTTTTATAATCCATGCTCTAAAAGAAAATCCAACTGTCCTTTTAAGAAGGACAATACTGAAGGAGAATGAACCGTAGCCATTCACCTCTGATAAGTCCCCATTCCTCGCGTGAATCTTGGCCATGTTTTCCAGCCAGGTCCTCCGCAGCTCAGGGGTGCTGGCATAGGAGTTGGCCAGGCTGTACTGGAGATCCACCAACATCTCGGGGTCTTTTTCATGCTCCTTCATCTGAGCCGTGGCCATCAAAACCGTCCTTATACGCTTAGTCAGGTCTTTTACTTCTGCTGGGAAATTGCTGTTCTTTGGAAAAGAGAGAGCCTGGGTCATTATCTCTTTAGAATTCACACATCAACTTATTTCAACTTAGGCTGTTAATTATGACTTGGAGTGCAGCTTGGTGCGCTCTCTATATTGTGATTGCATGTGTGTATTCTACATGTATGCATTCTATAGATCATGACTGTTGTTGTCTTATATATTTAAAGGTAGGGATTGTAGAAGACACTACTTTTGTCTTCTAGCCCATCTTCTAGTAATAGCATCCTGATTTCCCATGGGGCTCTCTCATCCTTGACTCTTTGTCATGCAATATGAGTGGGTCAGATTCCATCCCCAAGTGCCCAAAATAGCAAGTGATAGTAGTCTAGCAATATAATTCTTTGATACCCCAGATCCTGTTGATTGGTTCAGGGATCGGCATGTGATGCAAGGTTGGATCAAAGAAATTCAGTTCTATGACTTTAATAGGCAATTATGGAAAAAATGTGCTTTTTCCACTCAGTATGCTACCAGTGTTTTAAGAGTTCCTGGGAGCAAGCCCATGGAGAGAGACTATCTGCAAATGCAGTAAACACAGAGCAAAGTGGATCTGAGAAACAGAGATAGAGGTAAAAAGAGAGGAGTGGATGGGGATGTGGGTAGAGGGATCTGAAAACATTATTTTAACCCTGGCTCCAGCCATGCCCAAAGCCAGATTCTAGCCCTGGACTTTTCAGTCTAATGAGTAAAGGAGAAGTCTTCAAAAAGTGCTAAAGGAAAGGAGAATTAGATTTGGACAAGAGTGAGATTATGAGTAATTCCTTATATTTCTGCATATTTATGGTATATATTCTTATTACATACCACTCATCCACACATACTAGAAATCCCACTCAACAGAAAGAGTAGGACATGATTATGAATTATCAATAACCAAACTGAGTGTAAGTGTTCAGTTAAAGTGCCAATAAACTAAATATAGAATTCTATGCATTTCGTTGTTGATTTTGTTTTTGTTGCTAATTTGTGACTTAGGAGACCTCATGGGTAACAGAGTATAACTGCTCCATAGGGTTTTCTTGCTTGTAATCTTTCCCAAAGCAGATTGCCAAGCCTGCTTCTTCCCAGTGCTGCTGAATGGGTTCAAACCACCAGCCAACCTTTTGGTTACAAGCTGAGCACAAACAATCTGTGCCACCCAGGGATCTTCTATATGTTTTGATTTCTCTCAAAAAGAACCTACCTCAGTTTATTCCTAACATTTTAGAAAAAGGCCACAAAGCATTTCTTACTTTCATTTGCTTGTCACCGTTAGCAAAATTATTGGTAATTGCAAGGGAATGTTGAAACCGAGAGCCTCCAATCCCAGCATCAGCTATTAACTGGCTTACAGCCTTGATGAGCTGGAAGAGAAAAGAAAAAAGGAACCTTCAAAGTCAAGTCAGAAATAGCACCTTTAAAGAAGCTCATTTGATTGGATTAACGTTAGCATCTCTTTGTAGATCCGATGAATATCGTTCTACCTCTATGTATCAGATCTCCAGAAGGCCACGTCATCTTGGGCTTATCTCAATGACACTATATTTCCCAAATAGCTAAGGAAGGCTGTATGAGTCTTGGGAATCCTTGAAGAAACGCTTTATGCCTTTGCAATATGGCAGATTTGGCATCCTAGAGCTAACTGTGGTTTACTGAGTTGTGCATCCTCTGGGATTCTGGTACTTGGCAGAAGTAAGGAGAGTGCCAGGTGGAGCTGGAGGCCCTGCTGACTTGTGCTCCATTGTGTTCTTCCTCTGAGTAGGAACTGAGTGTGATGGGCATATTTAAGAAGGAAGCTGGTGGAGGCATCAGTAACGGGTTGCTCTGGGGATAATTGGTTTTTATCTATGCTGGAACAGATTAGTGGCTTTAATGAGAACATTAATGAAAACTGGCAGTACTTACTTGTAAGTGGGACCGGACAATTGACTTCTGCTTGTTAAACTCAAAATTCTTCCTCATGAAAAAGTATAGAAGTGCTGAGGCTTCCATCTGAGTTAAGCGTGACCTGTGGTTACAGCATTTTAGGACTTCGTAGCAGAATGACCCACAGAGGTCTGCTGGCCCTTGAAAGAACGCTGAAGGAAACTGCAGAAATGGAAGTGTGGGTGCAGTGAGCAGCATCCTTCGTGTTGCTCTATTTATTCTCATATTTAAAAAGTCCCTAGAACCAAACCCCTCTTCTTTTACAACCTAGTCTTTTTCTTCCATTTACAAGTGACGGGGATATCATTTTATCAATCAGAATTCATGTCAGTATTTCTCTTTTCTTCTTAGAAGTAACTATGCTCTTATTTGTTAAGGATCCTTTGTATCGTAATTGATGACACTGAATTGACTCTAACTCATGCTGACCCCACGTGTTACAGAGTAAGCATTTTCTTGGCTGTTACAGAAGCAGATTGCCAGGTCTCTCTTCTGAAGTGCCACTGGGTGAGTCAGAACCAGCAACTTTTAGGTTGTACCAATAACTTGTGCCACCCAGGGAGCTAACTGATGACAGCCCAATCTAATTGAGTGAGGGTCTCACAATGATCTGTATTCGCACAACATTGCTAGAACCACAGGTATCACGTACAGGTGTTCTGAAAGGTGGTGGCTACATCTACTTTGATGTGGAATCTTTCACTTTGCATGAATAGACATGTTAATCGATGGTGTGCATTTTACCTAACTCTGTGCCATAAACACAGGAAATGCAAAAAATGCGTGACCAGATGCTACTTTCATTCCTTTTGGTCTCCAAGAAGATGGGCTGTCAAGCTGTGAATTCATTTTGAGATCATGAATCAAAGTCTTCTAAAGTGAAAATAGAAGGAACCAAATCATTCCTTCATCCTGAGTGATGTCAAGATTAATATGTTATCATCCTCCTTAACTGAGCTGCACCAGGACCCAGAGGATGCTTACCTTGCAAACAAACAGTCTCAAGGAGGCAAACACATGTTTCAGTGCTGCGGCCGACTGGTTGACTTGGAAAAACAGCATGTAGGTATCAAAGACCCTTTTCATCATTGAATTTTGACAGTCAGATTGTTGGAGTTGCCTCTGGAAATTGGTAAATTATTTAAGATAAGTGTTATAACGCCTGAATCCTTTCAACAGATATTTACTGTGAACCTACTATGTGGTCGGCACTATCCTAGATGCTGGAAAGAAGAGTTGAATAAGAAGTCAAGGTCGAGGTTCCCAATGAAGCTTACATAGCAGTGACTGAAAGAATGACTAAGAACATAGAATAAATGACATGATAAAAGTGACTCTTTTGTGTTTGAGATTACTTTAGGTAGGATGGCAGCAAAGACCATTCTACTAAAGAGATACATGAGTTGAAGGAGCCCTTGGAGGGGAGATCTGAGTGATGTGTCCTAGGAAGGAAAAACAGATGGTGTAAGAGCTTTGGATTAGCAATGAGCTTGTGAGTTCAAGGAGGAGAAAGAAAAGCAGAGTAGCTGAAGTGTGGGTTGGGTTGGAGATGAGGTCCCAGACAGGTCAGGTCCTCAGAGGCCTAATAAAGCCTTCAGGTGCATGAGATTTGGGTGACATTTCCACAGAGCAACAAAAAATCAACACAAACTGTTTTGTCAAGACAAAACTTTGGTCAAAACAAAAATGAGACAAAACTTTGTTTTATCTACCACCATGATGTTTCAATTGCCCCCTGTGCATGTGAGAGCTGGGCAATGAAAAAGGAAGACTGAAGAACAGTTGATGGCTTTGAGCTGTGGTGCTGGCAAAGAATGCTGAGAGTCCCGTGGACTGCTAAAAGAGCTAACAGGTCTGTCCTGGAAGAAGTGCAGCTGGAATGCTCCTTGGAAGCGAGAACAGCCAGACTTTGCCTCACCTACTTTGGTCATGTTGTCAGAAGGGACCATTTTCTGGAGAAGGATGTCATGTTTGGTAAAGTGGAGGGTCAACGAAAGAGGGGAAGACTCTCAACAAGATGGACTGACATGGTGGCTGCAGTGATGGGTTCAGGTATTGTTGGGTTTGTGAGGCTGGACAGGACCAGGCAGTGTTTTGTTCTGTTGTACATAAGGTCACTATGAGTCGGACACAACCCGACAGCACATAACAACAACAACAACAACAACCATGCTGACACCTCACATGGAAGCAGGGCTTTCTTGGTGTACTCTTGTTGTTTGGTGTAGGTACTGTATCCAATGGTCCAACTTGTCTGGCTCAATTGTTAATATTTTAACCTAGTTTTGGCACTGATTTAATTGAGCTGTGCATTTTTTTTTAACTTTATTGAAGCACAACTGACATACAATAAACTGCACATATTCAAAGTATAATTTGGTAAGTTTGTCATAAAACAATCACCTCAGTCAACATAATGAACATATCCGTCACCCTAAAAGTTTTCTCATGCCTTTTTTGTGATCCCTCTCTACCACCTCTCCTCCACATTCCACTGATCTGTGTTCTGTTTCTATAGTTTGCATTTTCTAAAATTTTATAACATGGAATCAAGCAGTATATCCTCTTTTTTCCCTGGCTTCTTTAAGTCAGTGTAACAATTCTGAAATTCATCCAATTATAGCATGTATCAGCAGGTAATTCCTTTTCAGTGCTAAGCCATAGTCCATTGTATAGTATAATGCATTTGGTTTATCCATTCATCAGTTGTTTTGTTTCTAGTGTGGGCTATTATAAATAAAGCTGCTATGAACATTCATGTTCTACTTTTTATATGAACATTTGTTTAGAGTAAATAATGGCTGCATTACATGATAGATTTTGTTTAACTTAAAAAAAATAAATAAGCAGCCATCTTGTTTTCCAAAGTGTTCATAACATTGTGCTTTCCATTGGCAGTGAATGGAAGGTCCAATTTCCCTACAACCTCAGAAAAACTTGATCTGGCCAGTCTTTTTAATTTTAGCCATTCTAATAGGTATATACTAGCATCAAAGATATACAGATAGCAAATAAACACAAGAAAGGATTTTCAGTATTAGTACTCTATTGAGTCTATCCACAAAATTAACAAATAATTTCTAAGGATTGAAAATGTAGGATTCAATTCTCATTCAACCCAGCTTCCTTGAGAGAAAAGCAAGAGAAATTAAGAAGAACATCAATTATTTGATAATAGTGAAATACATACACGTGTGTAGCAAACAGTCAACTTCTGTTAAAATCTAAATCTAATGCTTAACATCTACTCATAGGCAATTTGACTTAATGTATATTTAATTGATTTCCAAAGACATTTTACAAACATATTTCTTTAGTTCATGTAACTGCAGTTTCATCTCTCATTTTATTAGCATTTTACAGAGAATGTGATGATCATACTTGCCTGGTGGATCTGGGTGAAGAGGGATAGCAAGTCTAGGATAGTGAGGCAAACCTCTGTAGCTATATTGGCCTCAGTGTCCACATGGTGCATGATGTCTATTTCACTGGAGTTGCCTGCAAAAAGAAAAGGAAAACGTGCATATAGCTTCCAAGACAATTCATTCTCTAAAACTGACTTTTTTTTTTTTCTATTACAAAATATTTAATTCATTGATATTTCAATTAGTATTAAATAAAAGTACTTTGTTCAATTTCCTTTCCGGTTGAATCAAAACCACTAGACAGTCTTTAGTATGCCTTTCTCATATGTAAGCTATAAGGCTTCCAAAGGACACTGCTCTACTTCTCATTTCTTAATTTTTTCTACTAATGTAGTCACTGGTAGGGCCATATTTCTTATGTCATCAGGCAGAGTTGAATGCTGGGCTCACAGGCTAATAGACAAAATGCACAGGCGCAGGGAGCAGCTTCCATCGACAGCTTGCTTGCGAAGGCAAAAAGCATAGTGACAGCTTAAGGTATACACCTTCAACCAGGTCATTCTGTGGGTCAAGTCCCTATAACTGCTAACACTTACAGGCTGTGAAACTGGGCCCCATTTTCCCTTATTCATGATCTGGATTCAAGATGCCATGTTTATAGCTTATAGGGAAGGGACAAGTTTTTCCTCTCTTCACCAAGTAGACAGTAATAACCTGGTTGCAATAGGATCCCATACACCAGAAAATACAACCAGTTGGTCTCTGAAAGGAAGCCCATATGAGCCTTCCCAATCTCAAAAGTCACTTGTTTCCAGGTGAAAGCATCTCACACTAAGAATATTATTTTGGAAGTCTTGCCTTTTGACCTATTTTCTCTTCTTCCCTGCAAGAGCCCTTCCTTTTTGTTAACGACTCTGATGATTCTCTCCCCAAGAAACACTCCCCGGCCTCCAAAAAACCCACTGCCATCGAGTTAATTCTGACTCAGAGTGACCCTTTGGACAGCTATTGTTGTTATGAGCTGTCGAGTTGGACCCGACTCATAGCAATAGAAGTAAGCCTTAAAAGCATGATTTCAGGACCAAACAACAGCTTTGCCTTCTGGAAGACTATTATGAGTATGCCTTACACATATCTGGAGGAAAACTTAATAGCTACCTCGTTTCTGTCATTTTTGGCTTACTTACTGGTCATGGTATTGTCTAACATCTGTAAGAGTTTGGGGTTAGAAAGTGCATTTTTGCCTCGAATTATAGGTAAAGTTTGTGATCTGTGCTGTTTATGTCCTTCATGACTGGTAGTGGTGTGCATCCTGAAAATTAAATAAGAAACATGGTTAAAGCACTCTAGGGATACCGTACTCAAATATTTATCCAAATATTCCAGATTTGGTCAAATATAAAATAAATAATAATTTGAATAGAGACTTTCTACTGAAAAAGTTATTAATGGGTGACATGGTAAAGGGAACTTTTAAAAATATATTTGGAGAAATAGAGGATTATATATAGGATAAGATACACTCAGTTTAAATCTCTTCAAGCATATTCATTATTACTTAATAAAATCATGGAACTCTATGAATGCTCTTTACAGGCAAATATTTTTACAAAAAAAAAAAAAGGCTATTAGAAGTTAAGTTGGCAATTGGCTGATCAGGAATACAAAATGGCAGACACATTAAAAATGCTATATTGAACATAGCTTACTTACATCAAATTCTTTTTAAAAAGTAAAAAGTAAATTTAGTATAAAACAGCACTTGCTTTCCTATTTCACTGTATTTGGAAATTTCTCAGGGCTCATTGTTGTGGCATGTCTGCAGGGGGAACCAGCATGTGATCATTCATTGTGGGAGGTAGTCAAGTGGCCTCTGAGGTTAGGGGCTACCCTTTTCAGAGGGCACTGACCGTAGTTGGCAGTGGCTTCATTCCCAATGTCCCACAGCATTTCCTACTGGGAAAATTATCCAGGGATTTTTGTGGAAGTAGAAAATAGAGTCAATTCTCATTGTTCATGGTATTTATGTTCCACAGAGTCACCATCCACACTGAGTGAATAGTGAACCATTACTCTTAAGGGTAATACAGTTTAGGGTCTTGTGAGCCTCCAGTCACAACATTTTTATCAAGTAATTAATATATAATCTTGTTTATGTATATTTCTGCTTAAAAGACACTGTATTTAATATCGTTGATTCATTAACATTGAACTCACAGGCAATGTGAGCACAGCACTTTAACTCATCACAGTCTTCTTGCACTTAGGAACATAGACAGCAATTCAGGGCTGTGCATGGGGTCATTTTAAAGAGGAAAATCACCATCAAAATGCAAAAATGTGGCACTAAACAGACTACAAAAGGGACATCTGTTTACTGTATGAGAACTGAAACAAGAAGGTGGAATGCAGCTTTATTTGACCTCAGCGACGAACATGTACATTGTTGTTATTTTTGCTAGCTGTTGTGAAGTGGATTCCAACTGATAGCAAGCCTACATACAACAGAAGGAAACACTGCCTGGTCTTGTGCCATCCTCTCAATTTTTGCCATGCTTGAGCCCATCATCACAGCCACTGTGCCAATCCATCTTGTTGAGAGTCTTCCCCTTTTTCGCTAAATCTCTACTTTACCAAGCATGACATCCTTCTCCAGGGATTGGCCTCTTCTGACAACGTGATCAAAGTACAAGAAATGAAGTATGGCCATCATTGCTTCTAAAGGGCATTCCAGCTGTAATTCCTCCAAGTGAGATTTGTACATTCTTCTTCATGGTACACTCATATCCTTTGCCAACACCAACTCAAACACATTAATTCTTCTACAGTCTTCTTTATTCATTGTCCAGCTCTCACATGTATATATAAGGCTATTGAAAATAACCATGGCTTGGGTCAGTTGCATTTTCATCTGCAAACTGGCATCTTTGCTCTTTGACACTTTGGAGAGATCTTTAGTAGCAGATTTCCCCAAAGCAATACAATGTCTGATTTTTTAACTGCTGTTTTCATTTGCATTGACTGTGGATCCAAGTAAAATGAAATCCTTGACAACTCAATCTTTTCTCCATTTATCCTGATGCTTATTGGTTCAGTTATGAGGATTTTTGTTTCCTATATGTTGAGATGTAATCCATACTGAAGGCTGTAATCTCTGATCTTCATCAGTAAGTACTTCAAGTCTTCAATTTCAGCAAGCAAGTCATCTTGCTTTTTCAATTCAAGAACGCACTCCTTCAATTGCATTCTTTCAATTACAGCAAGTCATCTGTATATCACAGGTTGTTAATGAATTTTCCTCCAATCCTGATTCCATGTTCTTTTTCATATAGTCCAGCTTCTTGGAATATTTGCTCAGCACACATACTGAGTGAGTATGGTACAAGTAGGCAAACCTGATGCACACCTTTCCTGATTTTAAACCATGCAGTATTCCCTTGTTCTGTTTGACTGGCTGCCTTTGGTCTACGTACAGGTTTCTCATGAGCACAATGAAGCACACACTGGATGACTCAAATATGTTGCTGCCAAGCACATACCTGTGAGTGACAACAAAAACACCACAGGCAATGATCTGGGGGTCACAAATAAACATTAGTGAGTAAGTGAAGTCACACATACAGAATTAGTTACTAATGAAGATCAACTGTACTTCCAATTTCCAATTTAAATATTGGAATTTAAACTACCATTTGGCCAAGATAAAAGGCTGATATTTCTTTGAATATTTGCTGTCATGTAAACTACTCGTAGAAACACTTCTTCAAGGAAAGCAAGGAAGAGGACATCCCTGAAGCATCAAATCTAACAAAGAGTCTACCATTTTCTTTGTCCCCTCTTTCAATGCCTGTTTGGTTCTGGCTCAATCAAAGGGTCTGGATGCTTTGAGACCCAGGGGATCTTATTTGACTTCAGCAGCCAGTGGAGTCTGCGGTGTTCAGAAAACTCTCACTGCTGTCGAGACGGATCCAACTCATAGCGACTCCTCCTTAGGTTGCTGAGGTAGTATCTCTACAGAAGTAGATTTCCCAGTGGGTTTGGAATGCATGGCTTGGACCTTAGAGACAGCTCCCCGCCCCCCCCCCCCGATTTTGAGTAGACTTCCATTTGGAACTCTTGAAGGAAACTCTGGTATCTGGGAGGTGATGGGCAAGAATGACCAGGACCTATCCAGATGGTCCAAGAGGACACTGGAATCTAACCCACAAGAATCTAAAGAACTGAAGCGGCTTCAGGGTTTAATAATTACTGCTATTAAACATGGAAGCTAATTCTTTACATTCCTGCATTATGTTACTATTTGCAAAAGACACCCAGTACATTTTTTCCTCTACTTTCTCACAAGAGGTCAATTTCAATGGACGCTCATGGACTGAGAGACCAATTATTTCACAAGTGATTGGCTATATACCACTTATTCCTAAAACTGTTTCTAAAATATTGCCATTTTCAAATTACATATTATGCTGATACCTTTGGGAAGAATCAATCAGACTGGGAAACATCTTAGCAAAGAACTTGTACTTACTAGACCCAGAAGAACTTCAAATAAGCTTTCAGTCCCAATGTTCCTTATCAGGTAGGCTACGAAAGGATGAGCCTATTGGCCAGTCAGGTCAGTTTAATGACTAGGAAATCTAAAGGGAACTTCTTTTGGTCATGCATGTTTCCTCACTGCCTTTTCACTCTTTAAAATCAATTGCAGCTTTATGCATGTTGCTAAAATATTACAATTACTAAAAACGAATAGGGAGACATGGCCTCACATTTTGCTTTCTCACCAAGAAATCAGTAAATATGAAAAGAGGCATTTATTGCAATTATGCCTTACTTTTCAGGTTCAATGAAACTCGAATATTTATTAACCTATTAATATTGATTATTAATTCTATGAAAGACACTGTGCTTTGGAGAGGATGTAAATAATGCATAATCCTTGTCTTTACAAGTTAGTGGGGCAGATAAATAAGTACTTAAGAAGTTTCTTCAGAGAAACATATAGATGTATTTGAAATCTGCCTTTGGTTTGAAACACATACATGCACATACATACATACAGAGAAAATCCTCATTGTTCCCGTTAGTTCTGTTCTTTAAGGAGTCCTGGGCAAGTTAACCAGCTTAACCACTAACAGAAAGGTTGGACATTTGAGTCTAACTAGCAGGGACTTTGAAGAAAGGCCTGACACTTTACTTTCAAAAATATCAGCCTTTGCAAACTCTACGGAGCACAGTTCAATTCCAAAACATGGATTGCCATGAGTTGGAATCAATCCCATGGGTCACCATGAGTTGGAATCAACTCCATGGCTCTTGGTTAGATATTCCAGAAAGTCCCCCAAACACTGAATTAGTAAATACCAGGCTAGCCCTAACCTGAGCTGGGAATGGTAGACTCCACTCTGCTCATTAGCATATCCATAAATGATCAAGAATGCTCCACGAGTATTGATTTGAAGATTGCAATAAATTTTAGCAAGTAAGCAAATTCAAAAACACAGAATCCACAAATAATGAAGACTGACTCTCTCTCTTTCTCTCGCTCACACATACAATTTTAAATATGAAACAAATGCAACGTTACCACTGTGGCAAGAAAGCTGATGTCTGGCAGGAAAGATTTGACCCTTTGAGAGTTCCATTATTCTGAGTGGATTGTACAAATTTAAATCCAGCAGCAATCTTTCTGCAAGGAAAATTGAAGTTTTAATCACAGCTCAGTGTTTATAATTTATACCAAAAAAGAAAAGGCAATTTACAAAGTAATTGTTGAACAATGAAATACATCACATTTAATATAAGTAAAATCCTAATTTCTTCTGTTGTTGTTGTTTGGTGCCGTTGGGTCGGCTCCGACTCCATAAATGTGGAATATGAGCTCAGTCAAGGGGTTTGGCTTTTCTCATCTTTTACAAAGTTTGCCCAGGTTTCTTTCCTTTTTTTATTGGAAGTATTTTCTTAAATAGGTATCTGGTAAGCTATGTTCATAAAATGAGAGCTGTGTTACTTCAGAAGATTCATGAAATATGATTCCTTTTTAGACGTATGTGTCTGTGTGCTTCTCCCCCTACAAACATTTAAACATTCCAATGTCAAATATGGATATTGGGCAATCTTCAAACTTCTATTTCTTAGAAGTCAACCTAACAATTCATATTTGCCTTTTAAGATTTCTACCATACACTTAAATGCCTAACCTGACAAATTCATATATATCATAATTATTTTTAAAAGATCAGTGTATCCTGTTGGAATTTAAAATTTTTACCTTATTATATTGCGTTTTCCTAGGTATCTGAAATTTTGAAGACAAACACTAGGAAGAAAGGAGTGTCAAGTTATGTTCTGATTCTTTTATTTACACACAATATTCATCCAAATATATTTAAGGAAAATATTAAATATTCTTTAAACTGTTGATGTATTATTTATAGATAATTCACCAAATAGGTACTTAGAATGAAAAGTAACATAATGAATTATTTTGAAGATTCTAGGGGAAAATATGTTATTAAATGAACTCTCAAACTTACTCCAAGATGCTGAAGAAGTCGGACACCTCTGGGCTGGGTGCCCTCTGCCAGTAGGCAATCAGAGTCTCTGAAAGGAAAACCAAATAGCATGAGGCTCTGTGATAGTCCAAGTGTTTTTGAAAAATTTATTTTTAAGAGCTCTGTTTACCCTCTGAAATTGTTTTTATAATGTGAAGGAAACACATCAGAAGACTCCGTGTTTCTGCTTGATCTAATTTGTCAAATCGAAGAGTTGAGCCTATCAAAGACAAGGGTCTTGGGATCTATGGAATTAAAGAATCAAGAAGGATTGAGTAAGAATGAAAGATATCCAACTTTTATAATGATGAATAAGTTTGGGAAAGAAGTTGTACCTTTTCACAGTTGTCAGTCTTCTCACTGCTCTTCTCATTGGTACTTGGATTGGAGTCAAGACTTGCTAATGACGCTCTGGAATCAGCATGGTTTACTGTAGAAATAGCTATTGATGAAAATGCTGGAAACACAAGGCACAGCACACACGTGGTAATGAGATGTATGAGCACCAAAAAAAAAAAAAAAAGTCAAATGATAAAGGAAAAAGATGTTGATTACTGAGGTGGTAAAAGTGCTGTAAAAGATTAATATGAGACTCTGAGGTTGGCATTAAGCTATGTATCACTGTTTCTATAGAGGAATCCTGATCAAAAGGGGAGAAATGCCGAACAGAATTGCAAATTCTCATAAAATCCAGACTTTCTAGAGCCATGGAGGCTGGATGAATCCCCAGGACTAGAACCCTCAGATAATCTTTAAATCTTAAAACTAAATCTATCCTGTAAACTTTCACCCAAAGAAAAAAAAAAAAAAAAAAAAAAAATACTTAGCATAACTAGTAGCACTGTGTTCTTTTAAGAATCATATGGCATCAAACTGGCACTAGTAACTGGAAGAATTAGAAGAGAACCCAGGGCACAGTGCATTTCCATTAATGGGGAGGAACAATTCCAAATAAGAATGTGGCAATGGCTACATAACTTGAAGAATGCAACCAATGCCACTGATTTGTGCATGCAGAAATTGTTGAATTGGTGTATGGTCTGCTGTGTATATTCTCAAGAACAAGAGCAAAATAAAATAAACTTTTAAAACGTATGTATTACTTTCAGTATTATTAAACAGTGATGCCAGCACTAAGGACTGTGGAAAATCTAGACCCTTATAAATGGAAAAAAATTGAGTAATAGTTGTTCCTTTTGTTTCTTTTAAGAGGAGTATCTTTTAAAGAAATATATTTCCTGTTTCAAAAATTAAAGTTCATAAGGATACTTCTGGGAAGGAGTTTCCACTTCTGATAGTCTATGAGAAATTCAGGTGGCATTTCCAAAAACAGTTCTTAAGAATAATCTTTGAGCTTGAAAAGCTATTCTATTTTAAATGGCGGTATGTGATGAAAATTTATAGACTGTGTCCAGAAGAACCAATCTGATTACATCAAGTAGATTGCTCCGTAAGCCAAGTGAAAAAAGATGACTAAGTCAAATCACTGGACGGCATTCAAGAAAATACGTAAAAAGTGCTACTTAGCTGTATAAAGGTAGCATACTTTGCCACATGATGAATAATGGATTAGGTAAAAAGCACAATGATACACAGTGTAAACACAGATGGCTGTCAAACACAAGTGTTCTCAGAAGGTCTCATGTATCTCATGTACCTGCTATGGAATTTAAAACATCTTTAGAGAAGGAAGTATCCACAGAGTTCGCATGCTTCATAGCTGTCTGGGTCTGAAATCCTCCGTTGGTGCTCAGGTCATCTCTAGACCCCTGTATTTGAAGCAGAGAAGAGACGAATGGAAATTACACTATGTCAACAATGCAAACCCATAGATGCCTTCTTCATTATACTTTGAATTAGATGATAGTTAATTTGATCTTTCACAGTCTAGCAAAGGTCTCCTGCCAAAGTAGGCAGTGAAAATGAGTATGGGCAAAACCATACCCTCAGCCACAATTTCATCTCTTATGTGATTCTTTTTGTTTGTTTTTACAATGCAGTAGAATCTATCTTTTATATAGAGACTACACGACTGGAATGCTTATTGATATATTCCTGGATTATATTATACATTATCATTTTCATGCATTATAGTATGTATGTTACTAGGATTAACAACTACATTTTAAATCTTATTCTATGCCAGGCGTCTGACAAGTATTTTCCATGGTGAAGTTTAGTCCTCACAATGATCCTGTGCTCTAAGTATTTTATCCCATTTTATAAATAAGGAAAAGGAAGTTGAAAGAAGTTGGGTAACTTATCTTAAAATCACACAGATAGAAAAGGATGGTGCTGGGATTTTGGGGGAAAAGAAATTCAAAGCATATCTGCTAACTGCTAGATGGTAGTATCCTCCATGTTGTTGTTGTTGTTAAGTGCCGTCGAGTCGTTTCCGACTCATAATGACCCCATGCACAGCAGAACGAAACACTGCCCGATCCCGCGCCA